ATTAATGCAAGAAAATGTCCCAGATCTGAAGGACATGAGTTTGTAGAATGAAAAGAATTCACTTAACACAGAGCAAATGAATAGGAAGAGTTCACATCAAGGCACAAAAGAATGCAGTGTCGGAAGGCCAAGGCTAAAGAGAAGACTTCAAAGACTTCAGAGAAAAGGTCACTTACAAAGGTGCAGGGATTAAAATACTATCATACTTCTCACTAATAGCACTAGAAGCTAGAAGACAGTAGAGCAGTATCTTTGCAATAGCTAGGGAAATAATGTCCAACTCAGAATTCTCTTTTTTTTTTTTTTTTTTTTTGAGATGGAGTCTCACTCTGTCACCAGGCTGGAGTGCAGTGGTGTGATCTCGGCTCACTGCAACCTCTGCTTCCCAGGTTCAAGAGATTCTCCTGCCTTAGCCTCCCAAGTAGCTGGGATTACAGGTGCCCACCACCATACCCAGCTAATTTTTGTTATTTTTAGTAGAGACGGGGTTTCACCATGTTGGCCAGGATGGTCTTGATCTCTTGACCTTGTGATCTGCCCACCTTGGCCTCCCAAAGTGCTGGGATTACAGGCGTGAGCTACCGCACCTGGCTGTCTTCCTTTCTGAACCATCAAGTGAAGGATAAGTACAGGCTAATGACATCTCCCATGCACACATTCTCTGCAGTCATTATCGTCATAGCTGACACTTATGTAGTGCTTACTCTCCGCTTCCCTTCAGCACTTTACAGCAACAATATGAGATGGACACTAACATTTCCCTGTTTTGTAAGTGGGGAAGCAGGCATTGAGAAGTGAGTTCTCAAGGTCACACGGCTAGTCAGTGGTAGAATTGGGATTGGAATGTGGGCAGTCTTGACTCTACCTGAGGATGTCCTCCACCCAAACGAAAAGATCCAAGAGCTGAGATGAAGCACAGAGCAAGGCGAGAGGAATCCCCAGGCTGGAGGTGCAGGGATGTCATGCTCCAGGATGGTAGCAGTACAGGTGGGTCCAGGTTAGAGTAGAGGGATGAAGGACTCCGGGAAGAAATGGAAGAGCTTATATTCCCTGGTGTGTCTGATCAGGTACCGAGTGATGTTTGGGCATGTGAGGGTTGGAGAATGGATTGGAAAAGCAAAACAAAAAGAGGAAAAAAACTTATGCGAGGAGAGGTCATCATCATCATATGTTATGTGGGTTTGCTTTGAACGATATTTGTGTAGCCTTTATTAAAAAAAAAAAAAAACCAAAAACCTGAATATTGATTTCACTAAGAATTGTGGTTTGGGGAGGATGGGGGAGAAAGTGCTTTTTAGGCATGTTCGTGCATATGTGAGGCCAGTGGACAATAGTGTAATAGTGAGATCCTCTGCTTCATAGTACGAAGTCAGGAGATATCAATAGTATTTGAGATGGAAAAACCAAGCACTATCAGTATAGTATTTAGAAATATGGCAGTAAATACCAGAGGAAACACTTAAAAGGTTTGAAAAGGGTTGCTGGAGAGCTGGAATTAGGATTTGGAAAGAGTGAGGTAGGGGACTGCTATTATTCAATGCAAGAATTGTGTGATTTATTTATTTTTTCTCAAACAACATACACACAAAACCTGGAATTATCCTTGACTTTTTTCTTCCTATCACAACCCATATCTGATTCATGTCAAAGCTTGATGGTTCTAGATTCAAAGTATGTCTGGAGGCTGATCCCTTCTCACCACCTTTCCTGCTGCCACTGGGTCCAGCCACCACTTCTCATCTGGATTATTCTAGTGTCTTCTCTCTGGTCCCTGAGCTTCTCTTATTGCCCCTCTCCAGTTTCTTAGCAGCAGTCCCCAGACTGATCCCGTTCACATATAGTCAGATTGTGTTGCTCTCTTGTTCAGAGCCCTGCAGTGGCTTCCTAGTTCACAAAGTCCAAGCCAAAGTCCTTCAGGTTGCACCACACATCCACATACCCCATTTCTCTGCTTTATTTTCTCCAAAGCACTTAGCATCGTTGAAATGTTTTTTTTTATGAATTTATTTTGTTTCTTGCCTGGCTCCCCTTACCACAATTCAATCTCAGGAGGGTGGGATTTTTTCTGACTTCTTCGCTGCTGTATTTCCAGAGCCTAGAACAGCCTAGAATAGTAGGCACTGAATAAACATTTGTTAGATAAGGGTATTGCCTTTATAAAAATAAAAGCCAGTTAAAAATACCGCGAGTTTTTAAGCCATTTGCCATAAGCTAAGCTAAGCAGCTCATTGTTTTACTGGCTTAAGCATCCATAAGCAGTTTGAAACTGAAATCTTGAGGGGTCTCATTGAAAAGATTTGTTTCCATTTGGAAAATAACCATATGCTGTCCTGAGATTACACACCTATCTCTGCCATGCACTCTCAAACTTGTTTACAAAAATTTATCATAGTGCTCTGTGGTAACTACTTATGACTAGAATGATTGATTTTCACAACCTGTGGCAGCTAAGATTTCAAGGAGAACACTAGTATATGTTTTTAAACCATAGAATCTGCTTAGTGGGTATAAATAGGCATCACACATGTCTTCTGTAAGGAGCACACACCTAAGATTCTAATTCTTCTAACATGGGGAAAACCACCTCCAAGGCAAACCATCAGTTTGCCTTCTGCTTGCTCATAACAATCCTTGCCATGCTTTGCTGCTGAGTGCAGCTCTTTGTATTTCATCAGGGTGTTCTCTTGCCTGACTTTGCCCTTCTCCTCACCTATGCCTTCAGGAACCTTAAGATGCCAAATTAGTGCTATCACCTGTATTTCCATGGCTACCAATCACAGTTCTGCAGACATATGATTAGAATTTGTAGCAGGAGAAGCTGGACTATGTGACGGAATGGTCTTTATCCCAAAGCAAATACCTGATTACATAGGGAACAACAACAACAACAACAACAACAACAACAAAAGAGCAAAGTGAATTACGTGTGCAAAAACCCTTCTTGTGAATCAGTTAAAAGATAACCTCCCTCCACACCCCTAATTCCTAAATCTCATAATATGGGCAATCCTTGAATCTACCAAGGACTTTATATACTTCACAGTCCTGTTTCTTTGATGTGGAATCTGTTAGATTATGGCTCCATTCATAGAAGTATGTCAGTTGTCCCTTAATATCCTCAGGGATTGGTTCCAGGACCTTGCAGATACCAAAATCTGGATGCTCAAGTCCCTGATAGAAAATGACGTAGTATTTGCATATAATCTACGTACATCCTCCTGTGTACTTTAAATCATCTCTAGATTACTTACAATACCTAACACAATGTAAATGCTATTTAAATAGTTATTATATGATATTTATTTGTATTATTTTTTATTTTTTTGCTGCCGTTTTTTTCTGAATATTTTTTAGCCAGGGTTGATTGAATCCATGGACACATAACACATGGATACTGACTATGATTAATATTTGTGTTGTCTGCTTACTATGGGACCAATGAGATTTTGCAGGGATTTTTGTGGTGTTGTTTGTTTTGGTGATTTTACTGAGCTTAACAGGTGTTAAGTTACATAGATTTGAGTAAGACCTTTGGCAAAGTCTTTTCTTGTAAACAAGGAAATGTGTGTGTTAATGGATGGCACAGTGAATAGGATTCATTGCTGGTTACAGACTGTTCCCAAGATCGTTTTGGAGAGAGCTTGATCGCGGGGTGTCTCAGGTCTCTGCCCTTGCCCTGGCCTGTTTGTACAGGGTATTGAATATTTGGATAATGACTTAGAGGACATGTTTACTGAGTGGTGGATGAGAAAGCTAAGAAGAATAACTAAAGCTAACTGACCAAGGATTTTAAAAGATCACAGACCGAAGCATGAGTTGAAAGAGACAGGATGAAATTGAATAGTGACAGTTGTTGTCATCAGCTTAAAATATCACTGGAGAACTGGCCAAACTGCTGTAGAGACAGAAGGTACTTGAATTTTGTGAGATCAGTGGGAATTAGGTGTGTGTCTTGTAGTTGTATAAAAACAGCCAAGGGTCTTGGTTACAGTTGCCAAGATACACAACAAAAGTAGTGCAGTCACTGCTTCTAGTGAATCCTGCAAGAATGGCCAGGTCACACTTGGAATGTCGTACTCAGTTTTTACTGACATAATTAAAATGATTTTATTGTGTAATATTTGGTGCATACAAAAGAATACATGTAAAACACGAGTTATGAAGTAAGTAATAAAATGAATGTCTAAAAGCCTTATTCCCAGTTTAAGAACTAGAACATTCTGAAAACCATTGAAACGGTATTTTCCTTCCATACTCCGGAAGTAACCGCTACCTTGCACTTAAGTTTGTCATTTCCTTTCTTGTTGAAAAACGGTTCTACCATGTTACGTGTGTATTTCTAAGCAATACATATTTTTACTTGTTTTGGAATTTTATGAGAAGGGTGTCACTGAACTTAGTAACACTTCATGCCCCTTGCTTTTTACTTTCAATATTGCTTCTAAGATTCATATGCATCAGCCTTTCCCAGCCAGAGCCCCTCATCTTGACCACAGAACACACAAAATAATTTGAGTGTATTTTCTGAGTCCTCCAAACATGATACATAAATAGTCTCCCAAAGTTTAGATGCATAAGGGAGAAGTTATCTCATTACATACAATGGATGCCTTAGGCTGGACAGTTAGAGCTTAATTCTCTATTGGAACCTGGTTGAGACTGGCCGAATTGTTACATGTAGCTAGAGTTAATTCATTTTTACTGCTGTAAGATATCCCATTTGTGAGCACACTAAAGTATTTTTCATATGTCCTTCTATGGGCAGAAATTTGAGTTTCCAGTTTTTCGGTTTTGTTACTATGAACAGTTCTCTGATGAACATTCTTGTGCAGATCTGCAGGTGCACAGGAAAAATTTCTCTAGGCGTACATCTGAGTGAAATTGCTTTGGTCTGCTGTGCTTTAATGGGGGCATTGACAAACTGATGTGAGTTCAGAGGAAGGCAGGTAAGAATAATTTAACCATGTCATAACCAACCTTTGTTTTCCTTACTTTCTTAGGGATTGAAGCGGTTAATGACCATTTGCCAGAAACACTTTCCTACAGACCCATCCAAATGTGTGGAGTACAATGCACTGTGAGATCTGTGCATGGTGTGTTAATAACAGTAAGAAACGTACAGAAGCAGGCTGTGGACTTCTGGAATTACCAACAGGAATGAGGAAAGAAGAAAACTGGAGTTTCCAATCTGAGTTCTCCTTGATGTAACTCTTGATTGGTTTTAAGAACTGTGTTGGCCTTCATTTCATAACTGACTGCAAGCTGATTTTTCTTTCTTGCTTTCATTTAATTAGTCCAAAATTAAGTTTTAAAGACTTTTCCTCACAATTTAAATCTGTAGACAACAGAAGGGGGTTTAAAATGACCTTTTTTTCAGTTGACCCAAAAGTTGTGGTTAGATTAAAAAGAAACATTTGAAGATGGACTTAATTATTTCAGTAAAATACTATAATTTTCATATGTCTTTTGTGTAATATTTATATAAAATATTTTTATATATTTCAAAAACATGGGACCATTGAATGAAACTTTATAGTCCTTAAATGTTGCTGAACTTTTGCTGTCTTGCAATAGAATTTGAATGTAAATATTATTACTGGTATAATTCGAATGTTGTTTCTTTTTTTTTTTTATACTTTACGTTCTAGGGTACATGTGCACAACGTGCAAGTTTGTTAAATATGTATACATGTGCCATGTTGGTGTGCTGCACCCATTAACCTGTCATTTACATTAGGTATATCTCCTAATGCTATCCCTCCTCCCCCTCCCACAATAGGACCCGGTGTGTGGTGATCCCCTTCCTGTGTCCAAGTGATCTCATTGTTCAATTCCCACCTATGAGTGAGAACATGCGGTATTTGGTTTTCTGTTCTTGAGGTAGTTTGCGGAGAATGATGGTTTCTGACTGCATCCATGTCCCTACAAAGGACACGAACTCATCCTTTTTTATGGCTGCATAGTATTCCATGGTGTATATGTGCCACATTTTCTTAATCCAGTCTGTCACTGATGGACATTTGGGTTGATTCCAAGTCTTTGCTATTGTGAATAGTGCCACAATAAACATACGTGTGCATGTGTCTTTATAGGAGCATGACTTATAATCCTTTGAGTATATCCCCAGTAGTGGGATGGCTGGGTCAAATGGTATTTCTAGTTCTAGATCCTTGAGGAATCGCCACACTGTTTTCCACAATGGTTGAACTAGTTTACAGTCCCACCAACAGTGTAAAAGTGTTCTTATTTCTCCACATCCTCTCCAGCACCTGTTGTTTCCTGACTTTTTAATGATCGCCATTCTAACTGGTGTGAGATGGTATCTCATTGTGGTTTTGATTTGCATTTCTCTGATGGCGAGTGATGATGAGCATTTTTTCATGTGTCTGTTGACTGTATGAATGTCTTCTTTTGAGAAGTGTCTGTTTGTATCCTTTGCCCACTTTTTGATATGGTTGTTTGTTTTTTTCTTGTAAATTTGATTGAGTTCTTTATAGGTTCTGGATATTGGCCCTTTGTCAGATGAGTAGATTGAAAAAATGTTCTCCCATTCTGTAGGTTGCTTGTTCACTCTGACTGTAGTTTCTTTTGCTGTGCAGAAGCTCTTTAATGAGATCCCATTTGTCAATTTTGGCTTTTGTTGCCATTGCTTTTGGTGTTTTAGACCTGAAGTCCTTGCCCATGCCTATGTCCTGAATGGCATTACCTACATTTTCTTCTAGGGTTTTTATGGTTTTAGATCTAACATTTAAGTCTCTAATCCCTCTTGAATTACTTTTCGTATAAGGAGTAAGGTAAGGATCCAGTTTCAGCTTTCTACTTATGCCTAGCCAATTTTCCCAGTACCATTTATTAAATAGAGAATCCTTTCCCCATTTCTTGTTTTTGTCAGGTTTGTCAAAGATCAGATGGCTGTAGATGTGTGGTATTATTTCTGAGGGCTCTGTTCTGTTCCATTGGTCTATATCTCTCTTTTGGTACCAGTACCATGCTGTTTTGGTTACTGTAGCCTTGTAGTAGTAGTTTGAGTTTACTGTAGTAGTTTTAAGTCAGGTAGTGTGATGCCTCCAGCCTTGTTCTTTTGGCTTAGGATTGTCTTGGCAATGCAGGGTCTTTTTTGGTTCCATATGAACTTTAAAGCAGTTTTTTCCAATTCTGTGAAGAAAGTCATTGGTAGCTTAATGGGGATGGCATTGAATCTATAAATTACCTTGGGCAGTATGGCCATTTTCACAATATTGATTCTTCCTATCCACAAGCATGGTATGTTCTTCCATTTGTTTGTGTCCTCTTTTATTTCGCTGAGCAGTGGTTTGTAGTTCTCCTTGAAGAGGTCCTTTACATCCCTTGTTAGTTGGATTCCTAGGTATTTTATTCTCTTTGAAGCTATTGTGAATGGGAGTTCATTCATGATTTGGCTCTCTGTCTGTTACTGGTGTATAAGAATGCTTGTGATTTTTGCACGTTGATTTTGTATCCTGAGACTTTGCTAAAGTTGCTTATCAGCTTAAGGAGATTTTGGGCTGAGACAACGGGGTTTTCTAAATATACAATCATGTCATCTGCAAACAGGGACAATTTGACTTCTTCTTTTCCTAACTGAATACACTTTATTTCTTTCTCTTGCCTGATTGCCCTAGTCAGAACTTCCAACACTATGTTGAATAGGAGTGGTGAGAGAGGGCATCCCTGTCTTGTGCCAGTTTTCAAAGGGAATGCTTCCAGTTTTTGCCCATTCAGTATGATATTGGCTGTGGGTTTGTCATAAATAGCTCTTATGATTTTGAGATACTTTCCATCAATACCGAATTTATTGAGAGTTTTTAGCATGAAGGGCTGTTGAATTTTGTCAAAGGCCTTTTCTGCATCTATTGAGATAATCATGTGATTTTTGTCTTTGGTTCTGTTTATATGCTGGATTACGTTTATTGATTTGCATATGTTGAACCAGCCTTGCATCCCAGGGATGAAGCCCACTTGATCATGGTGGATAAGCTTTTTGATGTGCTGCTGGATTCGGTTTGCCAGTATTTTATTGAGGATTTTTGCATCAATGTTCATCAGGAATATTGCTCTAAAATTCTTTTTTTGTTGTGTCTCTGTCAGGCTTTGGTATCAGGATGATGTTGGCCTCATAAAATGAGTTAGGGAGGATTCCCTCTTTTTCTGTTGACTGGAATAGTTTCAGAAGGAATGGTACCAACTCCTCCTTGTACCTCTGGTAGAATTCGGCTGTGAATCTGTCTGGTCCTGGACTTTTTTTGGTTGGTAGGCTATTAATTATTGCCTCAATTTCAGAGCCTGCTATTGGTCTATTCAGGGATTCAACTTCTTCCTGGTTTAGTCTTGGGAGAGTGTAAGTGTCCAGGAAGTTATCCATTTCTTCTAGGTTTGTAGTTTATTTGTGTAGAGGTGTTTATAGTATTCTCTGATGGTAGTTTGTATTTCTGTGGGGTCGGTGGTGATATCCCCTTTATCATTTTTTATTGCGTCTGTTCGATTCTTCTCTCTTTTCTTCTTTATTAGTCTTGCTAGCAGTCTATCGATTTTGTTGATCTTTTCAAAAAACCAGCTCCCGGATTCATTGATTTTTTGGAGGGTTTTTTGTGTCTCTATCTCCTTCAGTTCTGCTCTGATCTTAGTTATTTCTTGCCTTCTGCTAGCTTTTGAATGTGTTGGCTCTTGCTTCTCTAGTTCTTTTAATTGTGATGTTAGAGTGTCAATTTTAGATCTTTCCTGCTTTCTCTTGTGGGCATTTAGTGCTATAAATTTCCCTCTACACACTGCTTTAAATGTGTCCCAGAGATTCTGGTGTGTTGTATCTTTGTTCTCATTGGTTTCAAAGAACACCTTTATTTCTGCCTTCATTTCGTTATGTACCCAGTAGTCATTCAGGAGCAGGTTGTTCAGTTTCCATGTAGTTGAGCAGTTTTGATTGAGTTTCTTAGTCTTGAGTTCTAGTTTGATTACACTGTGGTCTGAGAGACAGTTTGTTATAATTTCTGTTCTTTTACATTTGCTGAGGAGTGCTTTACTTCCAACTATGTGGTCAATTTTGGAATAGGTGCGATGTGGTGCTGAGAAGAATGTATATTCTGTTGCTTTGGGGTGGAGAGTTCTGTAGACGTCTATTAGGTCTGCTTGGTGCAGAGCTGAGTTCAATTCCTGGATATCCTTGTTAACTTTCTGTCTCGTTGATCTGTCTAATGTTGACAGTGGGGTGTTAAAGTCTCCCGTTATTATTGTATGGGAGTCTAAGTCTCTTTGTAAGTCTCTAAGGACTTGCTTTATGAATCTGGGTGCTCCTGTATTGGGTGCATATATATTTAGGATAGTTAGCTCTTCTGATGAATTGATCCCTTTACCATTATGTAATGGCCTTCTTTGTCTCTTTTGATCTTTGATGGTTTAAAGTCTGTTTTATCAGAGACTAGGATTGCAACCCCTGCTTTTTTCTGTTTTCCGTTTGCTTGGTAGATCTTCCTCCATCCCTTTATTTTGAGCCTATGTGTGTATCTGCATGTGAGATGGGTCTCCTGAATACAGCAAACTGGTGGGTCTTGACTCTTTATCCAATTTGCCAGTCTGTGTCTTTTAATTGGACCATTTAGTCCATTTACATTTAAGGTTAATATTGTTGTGTGTGAACTTGATCCTGCCATTATGATATTAGCTGGTTATTTTGCTCGCTAGTTGATGCAGTTTCTTCCTAGCATCGATGGACTTTACATTTTGACATGTTTTTGCAATGGCTGGTACCTGTTGTTCCTTTCCATGTTTAGTGCTTCCTTCAGGATCTCTTGTAAGGCAGGCCTGGTGGTGACAAAATCTTTAAGCATTTGCTTATCTGTAAAGGATTTTATTTCTCCTTCACTTATGAAACTTAGTTTGGCTGGATATGAAATTCTGGGTTGAAAATTCTTTTCTTTAAGAATGTTGAATATTGGCCCCCACTCTCTTCTGGCTTGGAGAGTGTCTGCCGAGAGATCTGCTGTTAGTCTGATGGGCTTCCCTTTGTGGGTAACCCGACCTTTCTCTCTGGCTGCCCTTAACAGTTTTTCCTTCATTTCAACTTTGGTGAATCTGACAATTATGTGTCTTGGATTGCTCTTCTCGAGGAGTATCTTTGTGGCGTTCTTGGTATTTCCTGAATTTGAATGTTGGCCCGCCTTACTAGGTTGGGGAAGTTCTCCTGGATGATATCCTGCAGAGTGTTTTCCAACTTGGTTCCATTTTCCCCGTCACTTTCAGGCACACCAATCAGATGTGGATTTGGTCTTTTCACATAATCCCATAATTCTTGGAGGCTTTGTTCATTTCTTGTTATTCTTTTTTCTCTACACTTCTCGCTTCATTTCATTCATTTGATCTTCAATTACTGATATTCTTTCTTCCAGTTGATCGAGTCGGTTACTGAAGCTTGTGCATTTGTCATGTACTTCTCGTGTCATGGTTTTCATCTCTATCAGTTCTTTTAAGGTCTTCTCTGCATTGATTATTCTAGTTATCCATTCATCCATTCTTTTTTCAAGGTTTTTAGTTTCTTTGCACTGGTTATGTAGTTCCTCCTTTAGCTCTGAGAAGTTTGATCGACTGAAGCCTTCT